GCCGCCGTTGTCATCGCTCAGTCGCCGCCGTTGTCGTCGTTCAATTCGCCGCCACGTCGTTCTCCAGTTCAACGTTATCGCACCACATCCAGAGGTCCCTCAAGTCGAGCCTGTTCAGGGCGACAAAGGTTTTGTTTTCTCTATTTTTCTGTTAATCTTATTTTATTAGTTAATTGCATGAATATTTCATCTCTAAACTCGTATCATATATTCACTGTTTAGATTATATTTGTGAGTTGAGAGTAATTGAGCATGTGTCTGTTAAAATTTAATATTGATTATAGAATTTGTGCATGATAATGAATATTACAATTAAATTGATTGAGATGAGAATTATTCATAATTATTGATGCAAACTTTGTTAAATCCATCCGTCACATTAGTTGTTTTGAATTTAATTCCTGCCAAAGATCATGAAATTTGGTGAAACGATGTGTTATTTAAATTAAATCGCTTATTCTGATGGACTCCTGTCCTGTTTCACATCATCATATTTCACTTCTGCTAGCGATTTTCTTTTTGAAGATTTTGTTGTATCCAGTGGAAGTTCCTCAATGAAAATAGAGAGAATAGTATAACAAAACAGAATCAACCTTCATTCCTTAATATAAAAGTTAAAAGCCAAAGAAAAGAAGAAAAGGATATGGGTGTTATGATGCTGGTAGTTGTTCATGTGTGTGTCTCTGAGCTATACAAATGTGCATGTCCTTTTTTCTTTTTTCGGAGGTGGGTTGGGGGTTTGTGTTACAACACAACATAATAAATGGATGGTAAAGTTAGGTTGATGGTTGATTTAGTAAAAAGAAGGTAAGAGAAAACCAAGGTGATCTATATTCTTTACCTAATTTGATATAAATACCAGTACACAATGTTGTAAAAAGCGAGAAAAGTGCTCAAAAAAGCTAAACGAGCACATTGTCGCTCCATAAGGCCCAAAGCAGCCAAAAAAACGCTTTCGGTATGGAAGTTGTCTAAAAGCAGGCAAAGCAGATTAAAAGCTATTTAAAGCAGTCGAAAAGCTGCCCAAAGCGGCACATGCACTAGTGTTAAGTGGTGGGACCAATTTACATGAGTTTTTTTTTTCTCTTTTTTGTAAAAGGTTTCTACTTGAAGTTTGGAGGAAAATTGGAGCAATATAATGATGTTGATAGGTATGTATTTAATATTAATTGTATTTAATAGTTATGTATTTAATATCATCAAACATGCATTTTAGAGAAAAGAATTCCTTCAATTTTTTTCTTGTTTTATAATTTTTATAATTTTCTTGAATTTTTCTTATTTTGTTGACTTTTTTGTGCGTATTTAAAATTTTAATAGGATTTGGACTGCCTTTTTTCCTTCTCGTTTTTTTTTTGCTTTGAACTGCTGAAAGCCCCCAAAAGCCCAAGCAGCGGCTCACCGCTTTCTGCTTTCCACAACCTTGCAAGTACATTACAAACCAACAACTAGAAAGAAAAGCAAGCTTACTAATGGAATTGTTTCTTTTGTCGCAATGGAATAAGCGAGATAATCTTCAAGATATTCAACTAGTCTAAAATGAGAATAATGGCTTCCGAAGAGTTTTATCCTTCAGAAAAAGTAATAACAAAATTGTGTCAATTGTGATGCTTTTAGTAGGAACATTCAGCCTGTTAATGATGGCATGAATGTTTATCCTATGTTACATGGGTGCAGGTGCGTGTATTGGGGCAGATATAAGAAATGAAAAACTTGTAAAAGGTAGGATACAAAGACACCAATATATGTGAACATATTGAAATTAATAATTTACATGAGGCCGATTTTGTTTTTTTAGTCATATGTTATGAAAACTAAAATTCGTATACCATTTTTTATGTTTATTTGTTTAGTAGATTATAAATTATTCTCTGAACTAGATACTTTAATGGTCCTTTAAAATTATACTCATGAATTGTGTATGAGCTGAAACAAATCCGACCCATGTCTAGTGAGTTGCGTGAAGTGATTGTGAAGTGTAAGCCAGAATTTGCATTATATAATTGAGTCAATGTTATAGAAAATGTGAGGTGTGAGCTGGCACCTAGCACCTAGGCGGAAGCCTAGGTGGGGTCTAGACGGATTTCTTTTTTTGTTTAGTGCTGGTTGATGAGGTTTTATTGAAGGTCGGAGGAGGTGGAGGTGTTTGTAGTCAGTAGAGGAGGTTGAAAGGGTTTGGAGAAGTTCAGAGGATATGGAGGCGACAGCGTAGGAAATCCAGTCCAAGACCTATGCGGTGCACCTACACGGTACACTCCGTGTAAGCTTTACACATTTTCCTAGGTGCTCTCAATATCTAGGCGGGTGGTCTAGGTACCTCTTAAGCCTAGGAAGGTTAGATAGCTTTTTAAAACAATGCATTGAACACATGTCTGGACAAGGAGTGTTCAAGGATTGTCCAAAGAGTGTCGTAGGTGGTCATGGGTATGGGGGAACCTAGACGATGTGTCTGGGTAACTTAGGTTTTATCTGCTACATAGTTGAAGTAGTATATACATTGCTGTGTTGTGGATGTCTGCTATATAGTTGAAGTAGTATACAAATTGCTGTGTTGTGGATATCAGTAATGGACACAACATTGTTGTGTAGAAGGCAAGAGTTTGCTTGAGAAGAGGCAGGTGGGGAGATCATTGTTGTGTAGAAGGCAGGAGTTCGTTTGAGAAGAGAGGTGGGGGGAGAGATAGAGAGAGAGCCAAAAATGCCAATTATTGAACGAATTCCCGAAATGATTTTTTAGTACCTTAACATTATGATAAACTTCAAATATAATAACTTTCAAAGTAATCTAGGTTTTCATTTGGATGATTTGGCGCCCTGCTTTCTTTCTTTTCTTACTTTTAGTTGAAAGTTTAAAATGTATGGAAGAGAGATTTGATGTAGCCAGATTCAAATGTTTGGAAATTCCCCCTTCTTGTTTTCAGAAGAAAACTTCTTAACCCAATCTGCTGTTACATTTGACATAATATCTCAATAACCAGTTGGACAACACACTATTCTGTAACATTCAGAAAGTTTATGGGAACCAGAATATAAAACTCCTATAGAAGTCCACTTTGTAATGTCAACATTAGTGAGAAATAGAGGTTGCTAGTTTGAAGTTAACAGTTTTTTTCACTTGCATTCATACTTTTTACTGCTTGTAATTCATAATAGTCCCACATAGGGTACTTGATTTCTTAAATGCTAAGTTGCATGAAAACGGGCACGGGTGCGAGTACGGGTAAGGGACACGGTAAAACTGTAAAATGTAGGGTACGGGGACACGACTACATATACATATTGAATTAATAATGTACATGAGATAATTTTTCCCCGCTTCATTGGTCATTAGAATTAAAATTCTGATCACATTCTTGAGTTTCTTTTATCATATTGATTATCGTGAATTGTAAATTACTCATTTTTTTACTAGACATCTAAACGACCCATTAACTATATAGTTTTGAACTTGGGTATGGACTGAAACGAACCCGACCCGTATCTCATTAGTTTCAAAAGACGGATGTGAAGTGTAAGCTCTACGTCCAGGAAGTCTTTGACAAGTGTTTTAAATTAACACATATATCTTATAATTGAGTACATGTTGTAATAAATGCATGCATATATTCAAGAAGTGTCTATGAAGTTTGGGTACGGGAAAGTGTCGGGTACGTGTCCGGTATGGGTACGGCTTCAATATAGAAGTACCCGGGTAACATAGCTTAAATGTGTGGATGATATTAATCGTTGTAATACCATTTGACCATGCAAGGAAAATGCTAATCAAATTACACGTAAGAGTCGACAATTCAGAAAAACATGCAGTCATGCACACACATCACTCAACTGCTAGTCCTTTTTCTTTCTTTCTTTTTTCCTTTTCTTTCCTTTTCTTTTTTTTCCCTGTAACATATCACTTGTTGATAGTTACATAGTAGTTCCATGCCCTTTTGTTGCTGTTTAAAAGATGCATCTTGAAGTTTCTATATGTGCAAAGATTCGTCGCTCATGCACTATGTTAAATATATCATTTAGTTCATTGCCTAACAAGATTACCTGGTTCATTATCCTTTTCTATGTTAAATATATCATTTAGTTCATTGCCTAACAAGATTACCTGGTTCATTATCCTTTTATATATGATCTTCATAAATGTACTAGTGAAAGTTTCTGCCTAACAAGATTACCTGGTTCATTATCCTTTTATATATGATCTTCATAAATGTACTAGTGAAAGTTTCTGGTCTGCAATATCTTATATTTATTTGATTACTGTATTCCGTGTCTTTGTTCTATAGGAGACCAAAAACTGTGGAAGAGATCTTAACAATAGATATAAAACCCGGATGGAAGAAGGGCACAAAGATCACATTTCCAGAAAAAGGCAATGAGCAACACAACCTAATACCTGCAGATCTTGTCTTCATTATCGATGAGAGGCCACATGGTGTCTTCAAGAGAGAAGGCAATGATTTATTTGTCACCCAAAAGCTCTCTCTTCTTGAAGCCCTAACAGATTACACTGTACAACTGACAACCCTGGATGGCCGAAGTCTTACAATTCCCATTAACTCCATAATTAGTACTGATTATGAGCATGTTGTTCAAGGTGAAGGAATGCCAATCGCGAAGGATTCATCAAAGAAAGGGAATTTAAGGATCAGGTTTCAGATCATGTTTCCGATGAGGCTTACAGCAGAGCAGAAGCAGGGTATCCAGAAAATGCTGACTCCTTCCTGAAACTTGTGAACTTATCCTTCTAACTAGGCTTATTTTCACTTTTTTACCCCAAAGTTTATCTTATTTTTTCACTTTTGATGCTAAAGTATTTTTTTAGCACTTAGATACTCCAAAGTTTCAGACCCATTTTATTGTCATACCCTGCCAGATTTTGTTAGATTTTCTGTTAAATTTAAATCATGTGCCTAGCGTGTGTAAGCCATATATAATTTATATCATGTGCTTAGCGTGTGGTACTCTCATCTATTACTGTCGGGAACATTTGGATAAGTGAACCTTACAAGTTTGATAGAAAACCTGACGACATCTGCATGGATGCATCAAAGTGAAATGAGACTGAAACTTTGGGGGTATCAAACTGATATAAAACACTTTGGATATCAAAGAGAAAAGTTGGGTAAGCTTTTGGGTACCGAATTGAAAATAATCCGTCTAAATACTTGCAATCTCTTAACACTAACAGTTTTTAGAATTGCAAGTTGTTGATTAATTAAGATCATATTGAGAAGCAGGCGCTGGACTTTAATGTAATTTTTGTCTCTACTGATTGTGGAAAATACTGCTGTTGGAATTACGTATTTTGTGTTATTTTCTTGGAAGCTTGCATCTTGAAATGATTCTGCGTTCTCAATTTCAATGTATTTCTGTCGATGAAGTTGTTTAATGGGTTTTTTCCTCTGCATTTTTCATGCACTTGCCAATGAATTTGTAAGCAGCACATCACCTACCAATTCAACTGGTTCTGGTAACGTTTTTTTTACTTTAATTTCTTTTTGTGAGTATTTATAATTGTTTTTACCTGTTAAACTTTTGACTTCCTAATTATCAATGGCTTCAGTACTAGCGCAAGCTTTTTTCTTTAATTTAGCGTTTGATTTGTTGTGAAAAGTTTGCTGTTCTCTGCCAAAAATCCAAGGGAGATGATTGGCAGTTCTATTACCCTTGATTTTGGATATTATGCCAACTGTGAACTTCTCATGCTTAATTATGAGTTCTTAGTGTTTGATATGGAACACAAATGTATGCGTGTATCTAGAATCTCAGCGGTCCAACTTCCTCCGCATAACTATGGTAAGATATTTGCAATTACAGACGTGGCCTAGCCTTTTAATTATAATTAAATATAATAGTAGACAATTTGCCCTTGTGTTCTTTTAGGGTTTATTGCTATTCTCTGTATCTTTGTTTTCACTTCATTATCTTGATGGAACGAGCGAGAGAGCGGGCCTCCCTACAGCTTTCCCTTGACGAAACCTCAATCGATCATCGCGGCTAAATTACATTGGCCCAAGGTGAAATGTCAAATGATATGATTGATTTGAAACTAAAAAAGGGAAACAATTAGTGCATTTAATCAGCATTTAATCAAATCATGAGATTGACGGGTTCATCGTCAGGTGCCATCCTAAGTTTCACTTTCACGTTTTATTTCATGATTAACGAAAAGATTATGGTTCCAGGTAATGATTCTTGAGACAAGGAATTCAATACCTTTCAACTTTAGGCTAATGATTGGAAGTAAGAAATCATATATTACTGTGCTTTTTCTTCCTTTGCAATCGTCATTGTTGTTTTAATTTTTACTCCCAACGCACGCTTGTATCCTTTCATCACTCGTGCGTTCAAGCCGCAGCTTCAATTTGAGGAACACGCATGGAACATATTCGTGTTGGATTTGGAAATTTGTAACGTGAGAGATGAAATGAACACGTCTCACAATTTTTAATTATCTTAATGATGTTTTTTTATAGTCCCCTTGACAGAAATTTAACCTTATTAGGGTGCACTTTTACCTCAGGAACATAATAGCATAAGTAAAACATTGGTAACAACCTCTACCGTTGTGGAACAATACGCTTCTTCATTTTGTTATTCAGACATAAACAGTGTTATGATTTGCTCTATATCGACTCTTACCAAGTTCTATCATATCATTCGTACCCTCTGACAAGTATGCAAAAGGCCCATTGTTGATAAAAAAAAAACTAATTAAAAAAATCACGACACATATATTATATGCATTAAAAAAACTAATTAAAAAAAGCATTATATGCAGTGAGTAAGCTAAACAGGGCCTACAGTTTGGTGACTCATACGCGGTGTTCTCAGATGACACAAATAAATCACGACAGAGATTTCAGACAGATATCCGAGTTACAAAACACGGCACGGCTCAAGTCATCTTTAATTTGTCCATTTATTCGAACAAAGAGTTTGGCATAATGTTGATCGCAAACCATCATAATGATGATTTTCAATGAATTAAATAATTAAAAAAATAGTCATATTCTAATCATTATACACTCATATCCCTATTTCTCACTCGGCTTAATTGGTGGTTTTTCTCTTAGGGTCTGTTTGGTACATTTCCGAAAAAAAAGAAAACAGAAAACTAGTTTGAAAACCATTTCTGGACATTTCAGAGGGTTTCCCCCATTTGACTTATTTGGTTTGTTTCACATTGAAGTCATAGGCCGGAAAACAAGGACTTCCATTTCTTGGGTTTGTTTCAACATCCAAAAATTAAGGAATACCATGAGTTTTCTAATTAAATATTCAGCGACGGGACACTAAATAATATCATTTACTTCCGGCCGTCGTTTCAATAGTGCTTTGAGTAATATTAAATTCATTAATGAGACATTTCTCACCTATTTCAGAGTTAAAAGCTCTGAAATAGGTTTTTTTTTTCCAAATTTTGACGTGGCACCCCATTGCAGCCCTCCTTTTCTTTAAATCACCCAGCGAAGCAAACACTGGAATTGAAAATGTCTTGAAACCAAAATCCTATGTGGCTAAGGGGTCAGATTTTAAATCGCCCATTTCTCTCTTTATTTGCGCAAACAAACAACCCCTTAAAAACATTGTACCGGGTTCCGGGCCCGGTCGGTGCCCGGCCCGAGCGAGAAAATCGTCCGGGCAAAAATAACCGGGCTTGGCGGCCTGGTCCGATGCTCGGCCCGGGCGCAACGGTCACCTAAGAGGTGACCGTTGCGGGCAAAAGTCAGGCCGGGCCAGCATAAACGGTCCGCCCCGGCCATAACGGTCAAATTGGCTCTTTTGATCGTTTTGCCCCTAAAAACGGTAATATGGTGAGGGTATTTTAGTCATTTGCCTAGGGGGCTGCCTCTATAAATAGAGGAGGTTTTCATTTATTTTCCTCACACCAAAGCTCACCCACTTCTCTCTTATATTCTCTTATACACTCTTATACTCTCTAATAATCTCTTATACTCTCTAATTCTTTAATCAAATGGCTACCGAATATGATTATGAAGGGCAAAACCTATCTCCCGATTTTGAAATGAGTCCTCCTACCGGATCTACTCCTACCGATCCTACTGATGTTAATCCCGGATCCGGTGGCGACGATTCTACACCAAGAGCTTCTAAAAGGCTGAGATCCGATGTGTGCAATTTTTACGAGAAGATAGACACCAAGGATGAACACGGTAGGATCCTCACCCATAAGGCTAAATATGCGTTGTGCGGTAAGATTTTCCAAGCTCATCATAAGAGTGGCACCAACCATCTCAAACGCCATTTAGATAAACACAACAGTCAGACGCCTCAAGGTGATATCCGACAATCTATGATCTCGCAATCCTCAACTTCTAGTAGTCTCGGAAGTTGGAGTTATGACGCAGCCCGTGCCAAGAAATACATCACCAGGTTTATCATTTTTAAGAATATTCCTTTTAGATTAGTAGAAGATGATGAATTTGAAGATTTATATACAGATGGTTTTTACCCCGCATTTAAAAAATTTTCTTGTCATATTTGTTAACGTGATATTTTAAAACATTATCAAGAGGAACAAGTAAAAATAATTTCTTATTTTCAAAGTTTAAACTATAAATTTTCTTTAACTTCTGATATTTGGACATCTAAAGCACAAACTGGTTATATATGCATCACAACACACTGAATTGATGAAAATTGACAAATATTTAAAAGTGTTATTTTCTTTATTGCAATTGAAGAGTCACATACTGGTATTAATGCTGTAAATTTAATAATTAAAAAACTTATGAAACTAGAAATTTTAGAAAGAATATTTTCTCTTTCACGATAATGCAAGTAATAACAATGTAGCTGTTGATTTTATCAAAACAACTTTATCATTGCCATGTCATGGTGATATTTTTCATATTAGATGCATCTGTCATATTTTAAATTTAATTGTTCAAAGTACATTTACTGAAATTAAGTTCATGATAGAAAATGTTAAGTCAGTAACTTATATGCATAATGCTTCTGAACAAAGAATTAGAAGGTGAAAACAATTCTGTAAAAGAAAAAATGTAAAGCCGAGGCTAATTTCTAAAGATGTTGACCATAGGTAGAATTCCACCTATGCAATGTTAAGTGTAGCAATAGAATATAAAAAAATTATAAATAATTTTATTGCTTATTATTCTTCTAGTTCTAGCTCTGGTAGCACCTATGGAATAACTGAAGAGAAATGGACAATTATAAGTGATTTAAAAGAAATGTTATAAATTTTTTATGATGCTACAATGTTATTATCAGACTGTTATTATTCAACCATTACTTTAGTTGCTTTACAAATTTTAAATATTCAATTTTTTTGGTAAATATCATATGGATGATACTTTTTGAGCTATAATTTTTTAAATGGAGAGCAAATTTAATAAGTATTTTAGGCATATTCCTCATATTTTTGGTTTGGGGGTTCTTATTGATCCGCAATTGAAGGATATTGGCTTCGAAGTTTGTTACAATCCTTGTATGGTAATCAGATTATAGACTTAGATGATGGATCAACCATTACTGCTACTTCTCATCATAATACTATTAGAAATTATTTTCAAACCTTATATGATGAGTATGTAGCTAAACATAGTGTAGCTGCACAACAGTCTACAACTTTGGCTTTTTCAAGCTCAAGTCGAGGTAAAAATATAAGTTTTGATAGATATGCAATGGTAGCTGAACTAACTGGTGGATTTGGACTTCGATCATCATTGGAGGTTTCTGAAATAGATGGATATTTATCTGCTTTTTTAGTTAAATGTAAAAATAATAATTTAGATATTTTGTAATGGTGGAGAATATATGGACCGGTTTCATATCCTATACTTTCCACCATGGTTCATGATTTACTAACAGTGCAGGTTTTGACGATAGCTTCGGAATCCGCCTTCAACATAGTAGGACGTTTGATCGATGACCACAGGACATCGTTAGATTCGTATACTATACAAGCGGTGATGTGCTTATAAGATTGGTAAAGGTACGAGAAGAGAACGTAAGACACCAATCGGTTCGCTGGAATTGAAGATAAATTTGAAGAATTAGGACTAGCAGATAGATATAAAGATTAAATAATATTCATCAAATTTTAATTTTTATTTCTTAGTTAAATTTTGTAATAAATTATTTTGGAAACAGTTGTAAATGATAATGATATAGGTAAGTAGGTGCCAACCTAGTTGGGATGTACCCATCTATTGTGATGTGACGAATTCCGAAATAAATTTATATTTGTAAAGAATTTGCTGATTATTAATAAAAAAGTTATTTTTATCATTTATTTTTTTATATTTTTTGTATTTGTAATTTAGGTAATTCTAAGTGATTAATAATATTATTGTTTTTTATAAAAATTTTGTGTAATTTTTTATGTAAAATTAGAGTTTTAAAGAGATTAAAAAATAATAAAAATAAAAAAATTGGGCCGGCCCGAGGCAATCGGGTCCGGGTGCGGGCTCCGATTTTGCCCGGCTCGGACCCGGTTTTTCAGGCCGGGCCGGGCTTGGTCGGATGGACACCCCTAGATGCAAGTATGCAAAAGGCCCATTGTTGATAAAAAAAACTAATTAAAAAATCACGACACATATATTATATGCATTAAAAAACTAATTAAAAAAGCATTATATGCAATGAGTTAGCTAAACAGGGCCTACAGTTTGGTGACTCATACGCGGTATTCTCAGATGACACAAATAAATCACGACACAGATTTAAGACAGATATATATCCGAGTTATAAAACACGGCACGGCTCAAATCATCTTTAATTTGTCCATTTATTCGAACCAAGAGTTTGGCATAATGTTGATAGCAAACCATCAGAACGATGATTTTCAATGTATTAAATAATTTAAAAAAAATACTCATATTCTAATCATTATACACTCATATCCCTATTTCTCACTCCGCTTAATTGGTGGTTTTTCTCTTAAAAACACATTGTAGTTATTTCTCAGGTTCATTGGAATTAAAAACCGGAAATGTTAGGAGTTACGAGACTCCCCGAGTTCAAGGGAGTTTTATGAGTAAAAAAAAAAAGGTTTTGGTGGTGCGAAACGCCTCAAAATACATGGGGCTTTATGAAATTTATCCAATATAACTGATGATGTAGCTTCTAAATCATCCCAATTATCCAAATGTAGTTCTGATAATGACTAATGAGATCGGTGTCATGAATATTATTTTCCTAGTCAAAAGGCACATGGTTATATGGCGTCTCTATTCGCTAACAACCAGGCTAATTTTAAATGACTTGGGCGCTCTACAACTATACAAAATAATTTTGTCATCTTATTCTAGCCATCATGAATATTATTACTAACTGTTGCTATATGGGTAGCCCTGAGCCACCTTAACATTTCTGTCACTGGGGTTATCCGTGTATTCTCAATCAGGAATCTCAGTGTTATCCGTATAGATACGCATATTTCATAATCATCTGTATAATTACATCGTAACCTGAGACTACCCGGCATGTATAGAATCCTTTTTATCTGCCTGGTAGAGTCATATGAGTTAGACTAATTTAGTACAAACTAGATTAATCTGATCATACTAATGTGACTCGAAAAAGAAAACGACATCTCAATCTAAAATAAGAACAGATTAAGATGGATACAATCACCCAGAGATCACCAGGATATGTGACTATTCTCTACCATTAAGCTTCTTAATTCTCACCTATGATTAAGGGAGATTTCAGTAAGTTAATTTGTGTTATTTTTTTTTATGTTTTTTATTATCCTAAGATTTGGCTCTTGGATACGTTTGATTTGGAAGAGTGTATGTGCTACACATTTCAAAAAGAGTGGTGTTAGGGGCACACCCCCAACCACATCCTCCACCACACATTCTCTCCCTCTATAGTGCATTGGACCACACATCAAATTTTAAAAAAAAATTTGATGTGGGGCCCAATGCACTATAGAGGGAGAGGAGGTGTGGTTGAGATTGTGGTTGGGGGTGTGCCCCTAACATTTCTATTTCAAAAACATAGCGGAGAAGTCAGATGACCCATTTCCAATGTGATGGATGATTTTGGTTCTTTTTTAAGGTAAAACAGAATAACAACAATAATAATAATACGCAAGAAATATAGTAATTAAATTAATAAATATCAGAAATCTCTCTGTCGGGTTTCAGGTGTTTATCACGAACCCCCCCCCCCCCCCCCCCCCAAAAAAAAAAACAAAAAAAAAAAAAAAAACAAAAACTAATCCAGCGTTAGTCGCAATTTTCACATGAATGGATAAAATTACGCAGGAGATATTTTTACCAATAAAAATTGAGGTTCACACTTTTAGGAAGGTTTATAAAAATCTTAAAAATTAAAGGAAGTTTTCTAATAAACCCTAAACTTATATCATTTTCTAATATTATGAAAGTTATGAGGGGTTATCTGATAGTTGTCCAAAGTTAAGGATTTTTCTTGATATTTAGGGGGTGTTTGGTTACATTTCTATAAATTATAGGAAATGTTTTCCATCCAAAATTTGATTTCCTTATATTCTTAAAAAAATTATAGGAAAAGTTTCGAGAAGTTAAAAAGTACAAATTTTCTTATTTTTTATATTGTGCTTGTTTGGTTCAAAACAAGAAAATGACTCATAACTTTTGGGAAAATAGCAACATTTCCTATAATTTATAGAAATGTAACCAAATATCACCAACTTTATAGAAAAGTGAGAACTTTATAGAAAAGTGTTAATGAGTTTTATTATTTAAATAATGAATGCGTCAGATTTCCAAGTGATTTCCGTCCATTTTAGAAGGAAATCAATTTCTATAAATTTTGGTACTTTTCTATACTTTACAGAAAACATTTCTGTAATCTTTTTTGAGCCAAACACAGTTTGTGGAAATCTATAGAAAGCTCTTAATTACAGAAATGCCATTGTTTGTACTTTTTGAGAAAACATTTCTCAAAAACAATGCAACCAAACACCCGCATAATTAAATCTATTCTATTATACAGAGTAGAAATGCGGATTATTTTACACGTCTATATGTATTATTTCTCAAATTTGTTTTGAAGCCCCTCCTGTACACCAGAACTTAGGTTTTCCATAGTTGTAGTGACAATTAACAACTTAACGATTATATTTTTATATTTTAACATGTCTTTGTCGGTACTTTTCATGGGTTGAAGAAGTGAATTTTCTCCGTAGAGGTATGCTTTTAAAATTGCTCTGATATGATTTTAACATGATATTTGATTTTAAAGTCCCCTCCATACTATAAGAACTCCATAATTATGGTAACGATAGAGAATTATATTTCTATATTGTAACAACTTTGATACTATTTTAATCTCTACCTCAAACTCTCTTTACTATATTATAACACTAAAATTGTGATTAGAATTGAAATGTAATCATTTGAACCACCTTACTTTACACAAAAGGGAATTTAGGGATCTTACCAGGCCCCTACCCTTTCTCTTTAAGTGTGTTTGGGAGAAGACTTAGGGCTTGTTTGGATTGAGGGGAATGAGGGTGAAGGGAAGTTAGGGGAACCATTCACCTCCATTCATCTTGTTTGGGAACACTTAGGAGGTGAAGTTAATTCACCTCCATTCACCTTAGTTCACCCCCTAATAGTATAAAAATTGTTACCCCCCAAATTGGGGTGTAACCAAGGGGAAGGGAATTCCCTTCCCTTCCCTTCATTTCCCTTCCCTTCCCTTCACTCAGTTTCCCTTAACTTCCCTTCACCCCCTACGAATCCAAACAGGCCCTTAAGGAAGGGAAGGAAGGGGAATGGAGGGGAAAAGTTCCCCTTCATTCTCTTCCCTTTCATTACACCCCAATTTGGGGTGTAACATTTTGGCTCAAATTTCCTCCCTATTTCCCTCTTCTACCCTCCTAAATAGAACTCCCAAACAAGATTAAAATTAGATTTCTTTTCCTCTCCCCCTCTTTACCCTCCATCCAAACAGGCCATTTGTTACTTACATACGTGTTAGTAGAACCAATCAAATGCCCCCTTCAAGGGGCACAAGGTCCCTATACCTACTTGCGATAATCACATGTGAATGAGGAAAAAAAAAGTAAATTTCACATAAACCCCCAAACTTTGGCGCATCTTGAAATCAACACCAGAAAGTAAAAAAATGTCCAAAACATCAAGGACATTTAGTCGGATAGCCCCTCAATTTGTTTGGTGTCATGCCTACAATTTTAAATATTTTTTTGGTGTTTATCCCGAAATGGGTCAAACTTTTGGGGGGTCATGTGAAATTTACCTAGAAAATAAATAAAAAGGAAAATTACAATGATGTACACGTAACAAATGAGAATTACATCATGATGCCCTGAGTGACTCCACCTGCGATTTCCCTTTGGGTCCCCGTTGCCGGATGAACATCCGGTACTGGTCGAAGGTCATCGGCGAGTAGAGTGCCGGGCAATCCGGCGTCACGAGATCCGGGATCGGGGCCATCGGCAAATCGCTCTTCGGATTGTAGAAGAAGGCGATGGATAGTCTCTCATCGTCTGCGTTTACTAGCACACGATGCTCTACGCTCTTGTATGCTGCATTACTTAACACCTGCGTTGCATACACGACATATTAGTCTAAGAATAATGTCATAATTATCTTTGAAAGGGTTTTAACGACAAAAGTCCTTTATTTTTAATATTTTAAATTTAGTCCCTCAAATACTTCAATTTGCTATTAACCCTCAAATCTTAGGGGTTGTTTCAAAGTAATTCCTTAGCTAGAATCTTCAGTCCAATTTGGTGATTCTAGCTGAGTTATTAGTGACTAAGCATGGATGATTACTTTCCATGTATTCTCACTAAAAGTGTGCCCGTTTGATTTGAGAGAGGAGAGGAAAGAGTTGATCTAATATTGCATTGCACGTGTTATGCTAGGGAATCTTTTGGCATGTTTGGCAACCACCAATAATGAGGCCAGGATTAAACCAGACCCCATTCTAGAAGGAGCTTTGATCGGTAGAAACTGGGTCAAAATGTATCTAATTGTTTTAGGTCAAAAAACCCTATTTAAACTAGTTCTTTTTCAATCCAGCTCTCACATGGATCAAAAAAGAACCATTGCATCTCAAAACTGGGTCAGGATCAGTCCATTGCCAAATTAAAGATTTAGGTTAAAAATGGTAAATTCCATAAAACCCCCTAAACTTTGGGGGGTATCCAATGAGCCCCCGTTGATTTTTTCCCCCACTGATCGAACTTCTCTAAACCTCTCTGAACCGTTAAATTTTTTCCAAGGGGCCTCATGCCAAGAAATGGAAAATAACTAAAATGTTCTTATGAAAGAGAAATGCCCAATTGTGGCAGTTGGGAGAAGGAGGGTTTGTTGCCTGTAAATAGAAAATGATTAAATTAGGGTTTTTTTGGAAAGCTATTTTTAGTTAATTGACATTTACATGTAAAGGAGTTTGGGTGAGACATTCAGTGGTTGTTTGGATGCAATGATTTTGGAGAGGAAAGGGTGAAACGTAATAAAATGCGTCAACTTTCACCCTTTACATTGTTTGGTTGGTATATTAACCCCATGATAAAATGCTAACGCCTCATCAAATTTTGATGATGTGTCATAGGTTTATAAATACCAGCTCGAAGGGTTGGAATTGGTCGGAAAACCGCCTTTTGGTAAAAATTAAAAAAGCTAACTACCTATTTACTTCTCTATCCATTGGCCTCGTTCTTGTCACCCTCCACATCTATTCTCTCTCTCACCACGAAATAGATGAAAAGAACACCAGCTAGAAAAAGGAAATAAAAAGAGGTAAAAGGATGATGTGGACGATTACTTTTCAAAGTGTGGCCATAAGTACTCTAAGGGGCTGTTTGGTGAGTGGTTTTATAGAAAATCTTGAAAATGGCTGATAGTGTCAGTTTTGTAAATAAAACTTTTCTGGAGATTTCTATAAACTGCGTTTGGTTCAAAAAATACAGAAAAGTTTTCTATAATGTACAGAAAAAGTACTATATTTTATAAAAATTAATTTTCGCTCAAAATGGGCAGAAATCACCTAGAAATCCGACGTATATATTAAAAAAATAATTAAGTACATCAGTTTCATTCCCATGTGATTTCCCATGGGTATTGTTAGTAAGCTATTTTCTATAAAGTGACATCCAACAAAACAAACGAAAAAGAAAACAACATATTTCCTATAAAGTTAGAAACATTTTCATACTTTGAACCAAACAAAGAAATAGCAAAAAAACAAGAAATATGATACTCTTTTGAGTTATACAAATTTTTCCTACAAATTTTATAGAAATACAAGGAAATCAAATTTTGAGTACTTTTCTTTTTTCCTCTTTTTTTTTATAGAAATTGAACCAAACAGCCCCTAAGCTTACATCAAACAGCCAAACATCCCCTAAAAGTGCAAGCGGAGTGGGTGGGTGAAATTTTCAGGGTTTCATGGGAAACCAGTCAAAGTTCAGGACATTTTCGCAGAAATTGCCCTTTTCTAATCTGGAGACTCCCCAGCATAGCACATGCAATACGATACTCATCAATATTAATACTAGTCATGACATACTCTAGAAAATGATACAGATATAACTTTATCATGTGTGAACATGTGTAAACGCTAGTTATTGGCGTTTAGTGCATCATCCCATCCTATGGGCTGCCCATATTTTAGTCCTCTTTTTCTATGGGGCCCACCACATCAACCCAAGAGCATACACCCAAGCTCTGTTCTGCGGATCAAAACCCATGATATTTCCTTCTCATCTTTTTCTTTCACGAGGAATAATATTTAGACTGTGTACCCTAAACTTACGTGCCAGTATAACAATGGACGGATCAAGTGTTTATGTGTCTTCACTTTGCTCTTCTGACGTGTGTAGATTGCAAACAGGCCTCATTAGATCTCGGGCCCACTGCAGCCCAGATGTCGGCAAACAATGAAGGAAGATCCAAATTGCCCGCGACACCAATCCTCGACGTAGCTCGTGCTAGTGGGATCTAATCAACCTCAAGTGGTGAGAGACAAATTGTCACGTGCTTGAATTGAGAACACGGACGAAGACAGCAAAAGATTTAACTAGTCGGAAAAAAAGGCTACTTCGCATACATTATCTATCTAATTTTTTAAATATTCAATTTTATTTTGGTTTCAGTCACTTGGATTTTACATGACATAAATAAAGGAGACATCTTTTGATTTTTTTTGTTTTGTTTTGTGGAATGAGAGTCTATTCTTTTGTAGATGTTAAACATCCACACTCTACAGTGAAAGGGGCAGTCCGGTGACTCCGGTTCACTTGTTTTATAGAAAAAGTTTAGGAAAATGTCTGATAATTATATTTTCGTAAATAATAGTTTTCTATAGGTTTCTTTGATTATATTCGGTTCTCTCAAATTTTATAGAAATATTTTATATAAAGTAATAAAAATGAGGGTATGTTATAGAAATCAATTTCCTCTTCATGTGAACAGAAATGGCCTAGAATTCTGAAGCGTTGAATTAAATAATATTTTTTATACAAAGCGTAATCATTTCCACTCCTCAACCCATTTTCTATAAAGTTGACTTAATTTCCTATTTTCATATTTTGAGCCAAACAAAAAAAAATAAAAAAAAAATAAGAAAACACTATTTTTTTTGAATTTTTATAGACTTTTTCTATAAATTTTTATAGAAATACATGGAAAATAAATTTTGAATATTTTTTTAATAAAGAAATCCAACCAAACAACCCCTAAATATAAAGATTTTGATCGTCCATACTATAAATAAAAAAAAGATCACTGTTTTTAATGCAAATGGTTGGGTTTTTTTTTTAATGGGCGATGATGGAGAGTTATGATCCATTTCAAACAACACCACTTATCATATCATCTCTATTTTAAAAATTTTAGGGTAAACATGGTTAATCTCTACGCTTGCGAGGGCATGTTTGTAATTACCCCTCCTAAGATAAGCCAGACGATTACCCCTCCTAAGATAAGCCAGACAAAAATAAGCACGTTGGTTTGATTATTATTTGGGATCCCATCCAAGTGATTAGTGTTTAACCAACAAGTGACAAGGTCGTCAGCCAAAAGACAAAATCCATGACAAAGACTCAATCCACA